GTTAAGAGACCAAAATCTTAAGTAAAAGAGATAGCAGTTCCAAACAGCCATTCTGGCAGATATGTCGAGTTATGTCTATATATATAAATCTGGTGGTGGGTTGTAGTCATGGACTCAAAAAGAAATAACGGCATTTGTGTGTCTTACCACTCTTTTCCTACACAATGTAATTCAAACACAAATGGTTGCAAATGATGTTCTCAATTTCTTGCTTTTTGTTTAGATTTTTTAAAAAATAGGAAAGGGATAACTTACTGTACTCTTTTTAAAATTCTCAATGCTGTAGGTTATCTGGAGATCATGGCAAATTACTTACCGACCTAATCAAGAAAAGATTTTCCCAAAGGAATTGAAGAGGACACACAGAAATTTTCTATTGGATGAACAATTACATAGCAAGTATTAAGCAGGAAAATAATTGTGTATCTCTCTTTATTTCTCTATACACGTACGCACACACAGTCACATTCACTCAAGGTTCCACTTTTAAAAACCCAAAGCCAGCTCAGCAGAACCTCTGTCAGCTCTGGAAGCCATCTTTTCTTTCGATCTTCAGGGCTGCCACATTTAGTGCTGTCGGAAACTGGGAGGGGGGATTGTGTGGAGTTGGGGAGATATCTAGCCATAATAACATTTTCTCTGAGAGTCAAGGACATTCTGCCCTGCACTTGGAGTGATGTGACTGGGAGGCACCTCCAGTTGGGATGGTTCATTGATTGGACCATGTGATGGACATGTGGGTGCAAGAACTTGGAATTTCTTTTGGGTGGGGAAAACCTGGAAGCTTTCAGATTCGGGTTTTCCCAGATGTGCCAATATGACATCTCTAATAAAATGGAACTTTGAGGAACTTCTAGCTTCAGAGTCTTCTTTCGTTGGGGATGTTACTTGGAAACCTGACAACCACATTCCTAAAATGAAATTAGAACTCAGTTTCCTAGCTTCTAGCCTGATGCCTTAGCCATTAGATCAGACTGGTTTTTTGTTATTGTTTGTTAATGTTATTGTTTGTAGCACAGAGATTTGATCTTTGTTGCGCTAGGATTGCTGCAGGAGGTAAAGTCAAACTTCCTACATGTTCCCATATAAATCATTCGAAATTTTACCTTCTGAAGGTACACATAAATGTAAACGGCATTTACCAGCATAACTCATCTTTTCTATAACTCATCTGAACTTACGAAGATCTATTTTTGCATACTATTTCTACTTGTCTTATTCTTGTCACTTCTTATAACACCCTAATTTCTTTTGAAGCTGTTTTATGTTATTTGTAAATCTGGGCCTCATGTTTTAGTTTAGTAGTGTATGAAACAGCAGTGGCCCAGCAGCATTAAAGCAAGCCACAACTCTCCCAAATTTCCTTCCCTTGGGTGTCACAGATCCTGGATTTTGGAAACATTTTGTAAGTTAGCCTATTTGAACTACCTAGGTTCAAAAATTGTTGCCCTACGATGTAGTGTTTTGCCCAGGTAAAGGAGTTTCAGTAATGTATAGATAGGATATTTTCATCTATTAGCTACTATAGCAAGATGGCCACCATATAAATCTTATTAAATAAAAATTTAAAAAGTAATGACAGAATATATATATTAGCAAGCCTTATTTCTTCCAAGAACTACTTGACACTAATGAAATGCAGTGCCAAGCAGTTAGTAGATTCTTTCCATGGAGTTCGTTTAATTTTTTTTTAATCTCTTTGTTTCTGGGGCACTTATTCATTCCTTTTATAGAATCAGCTGTTTGTTCTGCTTATGTACTTAATGACTGGTGCTGCCCCTGCACGGGGGTGGTTACTATAGAGAAATCTGTTCATCATTCCAAATATCTTAAGTACATATACTGAAGCAAAGTCTTGAATCTTTCATGATAAATATTGTAATTATACTTCAGGACAAATTCATTTATATTTGAAACTTTAAAACTCTCAAGAGTGCAAAGTACTGCTATATGTATATCTGTATTGCTTATGTACAAGAAATGCTTTAGTCATAATTATCCAAGGATAAGAAGAAAACTTTCATATGAAGTACACAGGCAATCCAGAGTTAGCATTTTCTTTCATCAAGATCATGACACTTTGCTTTTTATGTAGTGCTAATATGTTTCCTTATGTATATGTTAATATATCTTGGGTGGTTTTGGTACTAAGATATCTGAATTTGGTATTTATATATCTAAATAATATTTGAATAAATAAATAAATAGGCTTTGTTCTGACAGATTTACAGGAACATAATTTCCAACAACTTGTATTAAATCATTGTATTAAACCATCTGATGGCAAATGCCAAATAGGGTGAAGCAATTGGCTTGTACACTCATGACCACAGATTATAAACTATAGAGATATCACTGGGGGCACGTCTGATCTAGCAGAGCATCTTAAGATGTTATTAATATAAGACCTTGACTATAAATGCTGTTGAAAAGCAAAATTCACCCACTGTATATAAATAGCTTGAGTCTTACAGTCTTATAGTTTCCAGCAGGTACTTTTTTAGATTATTAATGGCTTTTCTAGTAACTGGAATCAAAAATTCTTATCAAGAGCTATGTCCTTGCTCTGCCTTCAAGCCTTCTAGTTCATATCAATCTAAGTGAGGCTTGACAATCTGGCATGTTTGTTTTTATTTAACTTTTATATCACCAATATTTTATTCTACACTGGTTTGTGTACAATAAAGGGTTGACATAAAAATGCCCTATTGAATAACCATATCCCATACTAAAACTATCAATAAAAATATCTGTGATTGACTAGGTGTCAAAAACCTATTTAAAAATATAGGTTTCCACCTCAATATCTCCTTGAAATATGGTCATGGTATGTATATATAACTAAATATATTTTAGATTTCTTTGCCATGATAAGTCATACATTTATTAGAGTATTTATAGTAAAGGGGGAACCTACTGTGTCATCTTTCATACCACTTTTTACCAAGTATTGGTAAAACACACATAAGACATAGAAAAGGTAGGTTCTATCTCATCTACTCAGAACGACCAATTGAATATAAACAATTAACACTTTATGTAATAATAAAATTCTTACAAACAATCATATTTGTAAACATAATTTTCCAGGTCTCCAAATTTCCCCTTCCAATTAAAATTACAATTCTGTTTGATATTATGTAATTACAATATGATATAAGTTGCTTTCTCATTGAAGTGACACACCAAGATTTCTTCATGCGAATTGGACACAACTGAGACATCAAATAAAACTGATAAAATTCAGCTTTACTAACTCTTTAAAAGCAGTCTTAAATCAAGTATTATATATATCCTAGTGACTAGTCCCTCCAGAGTTCTCATCTCCCCCTCCCCACTAATAGGATTCATTTTATATCAATATCAGGTAGTCTTAAACTCTTCAGATCTACCAAATAACAATAATTCCAATCATTACAAGCAGAACAACCCTTTCCATTCAAAAATAAACCTCATTGTGTTCCATGAATCTTACTCTTTTGTAAATACAACCAAGTTTTATTGCTGTCTTCCATCTTTTAATATAGTAGAGTTTTTTCTCTTTTCATTCTTTGTAGCTTCTTTTTCCAAATTATTTCTCTTCAGTTGTAGATATTTAATTAGGAAGGCTAACGTATCAAAGTTTAAAAAAAACAATGCAGGACAGTTATAGTTTCATTTAACAACCATCTCCACAATTTATGAGATGATGAGTGTTTTGCAATGACCTTTATTATTAGAGTATGAATTTGTGCTATGTTGCTCTAACCATAATACACAGCCTTAATAGTGTTTATTGTTGCAGCACATGTGCTAAAAGTGTCTCCCCTTCCCCTTCTATTTACTTCATTCAGAGCAAGTTCAAAGCATTTTTGGGAAAAGCATGCTGAAATACACTCTCAACTTGTGTCAAGGACACTACGATTTCCTAGTTCGAATGCCTGAAAATTTGATTGTTCATATCATGTCATTTCTTAATCTGGAGGATATTGAACAATTGTCAAAAACCTGCAAAAAGTTTCAGCAGGTAACAACTTTGTTATTTTAAAATAGATTTGCCGTTTTAAATAATTGCCATAATATAGCCTATAATTTATACGGTGTGGTACAGAAGTTATAAGTTAAGTCAACTAATACTATAATGTACAAAGAGAAAACACTTAGCTTTGAGATATATCAAAAAACTAAGAATTAATGCAATGGAGATGAGGTATAAACATCTATTTTGATTAAGATGATAATTTGATTTACTCATAAGTAGCATATAATAAGCATTGTAGATATTTATCTTTCAGCTGTGTAACACCGATGAATTTTGGGAAAGAATAAAAAAATTGCAAGATAAATATACTCTTGATCTACAGTCAGCCAAATTTCCAGCTTATGAAAAGCAAAGGAATTTTCATCAAAGAAAAGGCTATCTGACACAGATGCAGAGAAGGCACACCACATTCTTCTAAAATGTTGAGTTCATATCTTCTTAATAAAGACTGTACTATTCAGACTGCATAACATCACTGGACCATAAATGTTTCATAGCACCTGTGACTTCTGCCCCTTTCTTCTTCATTCTTCTACTGTATACGCTTCTCAAGATACATCAATTTATCTTTTCAGATGCCTGTATTATAACTTAGAATTTTAATCCTTTAGCTGTATTAGCTTGGAATTCTGGGAGATGCAGTTTCATACTATATAAAGGGTGCCCAGATAGCCTATTGTGTTTAGTTTCCAGTTAAATGAGAAATGATTTTCCCAGTTAAATGAGGATGACTCTTCAAGAGCTTATAATTCATATTTTTTAGAAAAAAATTATGATCAGTTCTTTAAACAGAAACATTATGCACTACAGAACAACTCAACATACAATGGTTGTATCATCTCCCCCAGTTAGAAGAGAGAACAGCTATTCAGAAAACAAGAAATTATATAAACAGCCAATGGATAAGTTCATCGATCCTATAAATTATTTTCCATACACATTTTTGCACCAGAAGTTAAAAAAACAAAGCAATCCAATATTTGGATGACTAGATTTCAGTTTAATCTTCCAATGACTGAAATTAACAAAAATGTATTTTATTTACATTAAAACAAATGTTGATAATACAGTAATAAAAAAATCAAAACAAGATTAAAAAGTAGTTAACATTATCAACATTTTTGATTTTATGATTTGCCCTTATGATATATATAATTTTTTTTCACAAAAAATGAGAAGATATATCTTATCACAATGTATTCTAATAGCATAATGAACAGAGGGAACCTGTGGCAGGTACAGTGCATTCTGCTGTATAATCTATTTATAACCCAAAATAGTTCCATCAATGCCATGTAAAAATATATTTCATGAAATATTTATATACAAAAAACAACGAATAAATCCACATATTGAAAAAAAGGCAAAAGGTTTTGAAAATGTAATTTCATGAAAGGCCAATGTTGCATTATAGATTCAGACCTGAGTCAGCCTTTTTTCAGGTAATAGAATGAAAGGTAAATGCAGTTTAAGAAAGTTAAAAATAGATTTGACACTTACCCAACATTTTATGACACTGAAAAGAGGCTAAATATGATAGGGTAGGCCCATTCATCACAACTCTGTTTTCTCTGAAGTCCTATAAAGAATGGCCAGAAGCTAGTGCTGACCCTTCCCTTGTCCACATACCCCCCATTGAAAGCTATTTTGCTTAAATTGTTGCTGTTCTCTTGGTGGATGTATGAGGCTGGAGGGCAGAGATGAAGGTCCTGAAAGAAATAAGCCTTAAACAGCTCTTATAATCACATGAATGTTGTGCCATTATATCCTTGCAAACTACCTTCATCAACCTCTTTCTGTAAAGGTATCTTTTAACCATGATCCTATAGCAGATTAAGCACTGTCCTACGATAATGATGCAAACATTGCATTAATTATAAACATATTGATGATTCATATTAAAAGTTGTAGTTGCTGTAATTATTACATATTGGGACAAAACTACTGACAGGACCAAATCTAAGATACTGTAATTTCTTTCTTCCACCCACAGATATAAATATACTTATATTTTGTACAACACTTTTTTGTATATACATACAAATCTGGGAGTGTGAAAATGTCTATGGAGACATTTGAAACGCACCTTTGGGACTGCGAGTGTATAGTTAATGTAATTTGTAGAAGATAGTAAATACATTTCAGTGAAAATGTCTGGAAATAAATATCTTAAATATTCCTTTTGTTTAGCAGATGTGGCAATTTCTCAAAAGTTTTATACAAAACACAGCAATTTAAAATATGTTTGGGGTTACTAGAACTTCCAAACTCTACCTTCTAAAATCTAGCATAATTTTCAGCTATATTGCCTCAAAATCACTTCCCTATGTCTCAAATCAAAATACCCTTTGTGTATGTAGAAAAACAACTTCCATTATGCAAAGAGATGCACATTTGAATGTGCCAGAAGTTAGTGATGTGTATAAAATTAATCTAGCACAAATACATACAATGACCATGTATGTATCTATAGACATTTTGAAATCATATTTTTTCCAAATATGCTGACAGTATACTATTCTCATACATGGAAAAAGAAGAGAACCAGCTTTAATTTGATTCCAAGGCTGACAAATTCTTTCCTTTTTTAAAAAAAAAATCACATTCATGTTTACTTTATGTGATGTTTCATGAGGTCCAAACTCCGTACAGAAAACTTTAAAAAGGAATGAAATTGCTGTACTGGAATTTTCTTGGCAATGCCGGCCAAGTTCTAAGAACATTCAGTTCTCTGTAGGGCACTAAATCTTAAAGCTGAATGTCCATTTTATTCTACATCTTCACTCTTCTCAGAACTACCACCAGCTGAGTTGTCTGCCTCATACCTTCTGTCATAAACTTCTTGAGAAGTTTTTTCAGCACAGTCATAGAACCTACTTGTAGGTCCCATATGTGTTCGAATGCGAATTCCTGGTTGGTACAGCTGCATGGCTGGGCGATCCTGTGCAGAACAAAAAAGAATAAAGAAAGAATATAAAATCTCTGAGAAAACTATTTAATTGCACTGGGGATCTCAATGCAGCCTAGATGAATGAATATATAAAGAAATATTTCTGCTACTACTTATATTTAATAAGAACTAGTCTCTCTCTCTCTCTCTCTCTCTCTCTCTCTCTCTCTCTCTCTCTCTCCCTCACTCCCTCCCTCCCTCCCTCCCTCCTTCCTTTCACCACTGAGAGGCAAGTATTCAAGCAAACTAAAAAGATTCTGGAGAAAACAACCTGAGAAAAAAGTGGAGGACAAATGGCACCAAACTAACCCATGGAAAATTTTTGAGTACCTACCCCTCATGCTCAGTAGAACAATTGCTAGTTAAATTCATACAAATATGGATATAATAATATTCAAACAAAAAATATTTAATAGTTTCTGGCACACACAGTTAACAATTGCAAGCTAATCTAACATTGGCCTGTCTAGCTAATAGGCATGGAGATCGGGATATAAGAGTGCTACAGAAATGTATCATCTTGCAGCTTTTTGCTCAGTGCTGAAGAGTCTTCATAATGGAATGGAGGAGAAAAACGACAACTCCGATGTAATCCTATAACCAATGGTGTAAGATTAATCCACAATTTAAAAGACACTTACTTGAGGTGGGAATGTACTTCTTGGAATCAGTTAGATATGCTTCTCAAAAAACATGTTTAAAGCAAAGCTTCACATTCCTGATAAATTAACTCATTATAATCAGGTTGCAACTGACAAAGGTTGTGTGATCCACAATGGATAGTACTGTCGTTGCTGCTACATCATCAAGGCAAGGCATTCTTTTTGCTGCAGCTGCATACAGCCAAAGAATAAAGTGCCATATCAGAAAATACCCATCTTCTAAAAACAGAAGTATCAACAATAAGGCTCTTACGGAGTAAGTGTTCTTTTAAAACGTTTCGGAAAAATAAATCTCTGCCTTTTTTTTAAGGGATAACTTGCCCTGGCACTCACATGAAATTGCTTTGTGCTTTGTTATTTATCAGCACCAGTGTTATTAGACTACTATGGCTAATAGGCTTTTTAGTAATAGTGTATTAATAGGTAAGGTCAGGATTTTTTGGAGTGGATTAAGTCCTGATAAGTTTTCATTAAGACAGCAAGCACTCAGTTGTGTATAGCAGGTGAATATATTTTTTTCTTTTAGGAAGAAAAAAAATCATAAGAAAAAGGCTTTGTAATAATTTTATTTTAAATGTAAATAAGCAGCAGGGGTATCTTAACTGCTTTAGTTTATAAAATGTGGATTTTTTTCATGTTATTTTAACATAGTTGTTAGAAGTTTCATGCTGAGATGTCAAAAGCAAATCCTCTGTGCCCCTGATATAATTTTACTAATGAAAGATTATCCTAAATGAATAAAAGAACCTTATTTCTTATGCGCTCCTTTTTGGATGCCATGTCATCACACTTGTCCTCTTTACCCAGTTTGTCAACTGTGTCCACAGTGAAGCTGTAGTTGTAGTTCACTTTCTTTCCTCGGTCTTGGTTGTATCCTTTCTCCCACTTCGGTTCATCTTCATTCCGTCTCACATATTTGTCAAATTCATAGTGAGTTCTGTGCTTTCGGCCATCTTCCAACCGATACCTTTGTCTCTCAGGTTCTTTTTCACGAAATCTTCTCTCTGAATCTCTTTGTTCTTTATCACTGTCATTTTGTGATCTGTGTTTTAAAGGTGAGTAAACTTGAACAATTAATCAAGTGAACATAAGTTTGGTTATATTATAGTTAGTGATGCCACAAAAGGAGAAGCTGTTGGCTGGAGATGGCTGGTGCAATAACAGAGAAGGCACCACCACCTTTCAACTCCAAACCTGTGTTTTTTTCTTTTAGTTTGTTGTAATCTTTTGTTATTTTAAACTCTTTTTATAATTATTTTTATAGTCGTATGTTTTATTACGTGGCTGCTCAAAGATACCTTGAACCTCAAGTTGAGCAGCATATGAATTTAATGAATAATAATAATAAAAGGAGGTTTGCCTGCATTTAATTTTATATTTTGCATTCAGTTGAAAAAGGAAATGATAAAAAATAAAGGTGTATATTGTAAATGCTCATTCCAGAATTTAAGCATTTGGTTAAATCTTTTTTGTAATACTTTTTTTATTTTTCTTTCTAATCCTCTGATATTAAAAGCTATGGAACTGACTGAAAAAGCAAAAGAAATTGTGGTAGTCTAATGAGTAATACCAAAATTCCCATGATCGAGCAATATTTTTGCTAGAGTCATCCAACTTTTTAGTAAATAGTGAGCATCTTTTTGAATTAATAAGTACTGATTCTGAAGAACCCAATTAGAAATTACATTCTAATTTCATTTATTCCTAATTAAGATAATGTCCCACTATAAGTTGTCAGAGAAAGGGACACTTTACTGAATCAGATAGTAAGGAGACTCAGGAATAGTATATAAAGATAACTGGCAATTTAAAAAGGTAAATTAATCTAGATTTTTTTTAAAAAAGTAAATCAATAAATAAAATAAAATAAAATAAAATATAGAGGTACGGTATATTCTTCTAATAGAATGTGCAAATATATTTTAATCTGGAGGAGCTAGTTAAACAGTTTTGAGATAGAGAGATGAAACAAGAGATTGCTAAATTTATTTCTTTTCCTTAAGAAGAGTGTTTTTGCTTGAAAGAAGTTAAGATTTGGCATTTTCATTACAGAATTCTAATAACCACACTTCTGTACTTCAATACAGTGGAATACAGCTTCTGCTTCATATCTATGCAAAAATTTGAAAAAGAGAAGAAATGTGCTAGAAGGAAAAAAATTCAACAGACAACATGCCGATTGTGAATTTTAATGTCTACAAGTGCCTTACCGCAATCAGGCCAATGACTGAGATCAGTTAACTAAGCTTATTTTAAAAAATTATACCCCATGTTTTAGCTGGAAAGGTTCCCCCTACAGTTTACAGATCAATAAAAAATATTTCTGCCTACATGTCTTAAAATAAACGACAGAAAAAAATAAAACACTGAAATGAGAAAAGGGAACAAATGTTCAGGTACCAACTCTTAATATTGTAAGAATCTTAGCACCTCTCACCACCCATCCAGCCGTCTGTCCGTCTGTCCAGCCAGCCAGCCAGCCATCATCCATCCTTTCTCTCTTTCTCTCTCTCTCTCTCTGTCTCTCTCTCTCTCTCTCTCTCTCTGATAAGTCTAGTCTAGTGGAATGACTCTTGAATTATTATTGGACTGCCAAAGTGTAATTGAATCAACTTCATAAAATGGCAACAATTTTACTTTCTTTCTTTAGCTCTGCTACAGATCTGATGGTTGAAGCATTAAATACCAAATATTTTTTTAAAAATGAACATTTTCTTATTTTCATAATGTTTCTTCATTGTAATCAGTCTGCAAAGTGACATATAAATTATCAAATATTCTATAATCATGAAATGAGAATTGTAGCTTTACATTTCTATGATCTAGGCCAGGAAAATAAAAGTTAGCATATGATGGCTTCTTCTGCCACTCACCATACAAGAACTTCAACAAAATGATTTACTGTAGGAGTTAAATTAATATATTGCTGTGCAGTTTTAAAAATTTAATTTCACAGGATTAAAGGAATTAACAAGATTTAAAGCAGCGATCAAAAGTGCCCAATAAAGAAATACTCACTTTTCCTTAAGTTCCTTTAGAGGAACTTCCAATGGCTTGGATTTTAAACTCCCATGTCCTGGTGATTTCTCCCATTTGTTGTCTTCAATATCACCTTTTTCTTTTTCTCTGTGCTTTTCTGTAGTCTGTTCATCTCCCTTTTCAGGTTTCTTAAGAAGCTAAAGAATATTTGAATATACATGTAGTTATTATATTTATCAAGTAGGTAACAAGGCAGTAAACCATAACTGAGATGAGGGTCGGGGGATAGAATTGAGAGTCCTTTCTTATACCATCTGAGTGTTTTTACTGATCTTTTTCATGTGTTTCTTATAAATACATATAAAACTGAGTTTTATCCATTGCTTTTGGTGAAATTAGTTATATGTTGTCACTATTTAGTATTATTTGCCAAATAGTCTCCTAAACCCCATACATACACAGAAAACAGCTCTACTGTAGGCCAGATGTAAGCAACCATTAATTCAATTGTTCCTCATTATTCCCTCTGACAGCCAATTCCATAGATTTCTGGAAACAATGGATTTAAATTGGTAAAATTAAGATTCATCTGGATCTCACTGCCAAGCTCATCTAATATATACTCTACAGTTTGTCCTCTAGTATCCATTTTTTTTTGTGTTAACAATACCTTGAATGCTAGGATAAATGACTTTTTAAAAATAAATAAAATGTTCCAGTTGCCATTTTTCCACCATTGTCACCTGAAATGCCTCTAATGAAGCATTTGAGATGAAGGAAAAGCAAAGTTGGAAACTTTTTCCCCATGAGCTCTCTTAAATTAATTTATCTTAGAATGCAACTCTGCCTTGAGTAATGGGACTTTTCTATAAAACTCCAATGCCTCATCCTCATCCTCATTCAAGAAGAGTAGACAGGAGGAAGGATAAGAATACACTGAAAAAAGCTCATCTTACAAGCTAAACCAACCCTGTGATACTTGATATTCCAAATCCTACTGAATTCTCCACAAATCTTTACGATTTGTAGAAAGTTAACAATATATTAATAACATAGAAAATAACAAATACCATGTTTCTCTGAATTCCCGTCTTATATTTTTTTGAACCCTGAAATAAGCACTTGGCCTTATTACCATGCGCTCAAAAGCCCGATTGGGCTTATTATCAGGGGATGTCTTATTTTGGGGGAAACATAAATCAAGTATGCCATACAGGACTTTCAAATGAATCAGAGGTGCTGAGTTTCCTAGGAATAATTTTTACGTCTGGCAGTGTAGTGAAGGAAATGGTTTCCCTTCACAATTATCTTGCATATGGAGGAAATAACTTCAGTTTTGAAGATAAATGTTATTTCTGGCTCTCCATAATAAAACTTACAAATCACTTTTTTCTTTGCAAGGGAAATATTGTATAAATGTATTTATCATTTTAAAAAATGTTTCACAAAAACATGAATTAATCTGAAAGTTTAGTACCATTAAAGCACTGAAAACATTCTGAAAAATATATTTTCAGTTTCTGCATTACCTTAATCCTTATTTCTTTTTCAGCAATTTTCTTTTGTTTCTCAGCTTCTTTTCTTTTGCGTCTTTCTTCCTCTCGACGTTTCCGTTTCTCATCTTCTCTTAGCCGTTTTTTTTCTGATTCTCGTCTCCTTCTTTCTTCCCTTTTCTCTTCTCGAATTCTCTGAAATATTGGAAAAGGTTAGCATTGATTTATATTACTATTACAAAAATCTGAAGTCAATATTTAAGGTGTAGTTCAAAATGCTAACATACCTGTTTTTCTAATTTTCTATTTTTAATATATTCCAAAAGTGGGGTGGTTCTTCTAGCTAAAACACAAAAAATGTGATGTAGTGTTCCATTCCTAAAATAAGCATGTTTTATATTTGTTAACATATAAGATTTAACAAGATAATTAATAAGACATAATTAATAATATTTCATTTAATCCATGGGCTACTAAAGAAACATTTGTCTATATTCCAATTTATCAGATTGCTAAGGAGTTTAAAAAGCAATAAAATAAGCCTCATAGTTGCAATACCAATATAGAAATCTTAATAATTTTTATTTTTTCCAACAAATATTTTTCCTTGTTATTTTCAATAATTAGAGTACAAAAAAACCCCATTTATTTCACCTTTGATCTGATGGATGAGATTTTTATACCTTATAACTCTTTTATTTATTTTTAAATTATTAAAGTGCACATTTGTGCAAAATGTAGGCTTCAAATTTCTGTAACAGTACGCCATAGCTACTGATAGCTATTATTAACATTACTAACAATTAACTGCTGAGTACAATATAGAAAAAAATCACTTGTGTATGCTACTCTTTTACTTCAATGGGAAAAATAAGGAAGAACTCTTTGGCAGAGTTATAATAACAATCAAATGCAGCCATGGAAAAAACTGGAAATTATTTCTATATCAATTCATTATAGTTTTATATATTAGTGAGGACAAAGTTCCATTTCAAAGATAAGAGATCACAAAAGGATAGCTATTAATGGTACCAATGTTAATGTCTAGATGACTGCTATTTAGAGAGTTCAGGTTAAAACAATAACCTATTATTTTATAACTCTTCCCTAAAAACTCAAAGCATGTAACATGAAAATATTAATAATCAAGTATTTTTTTTTATTATAACCCAGGTGGATTGGGGTCACAAGCAGATTTGACTGTGGTTGCAAATGGTGTGGAGGGTTGGATTGCACACACAGAATATGATCAACGCCAGAACATGTTTCTGCTTTGTTTGGGCAGGCACTTAACTAAAACGCTAACACAATCTGATGGGCTCCAATTTGCTTCTAACCCTAACCCTAACCCTAACCCAATCCTGCCTCCAACAGCTAGTGTTTGCTCATCTCAACATCCTATTCACAATCTTTCCCTTCAGAAAATGTTAATGTAAGTTAGAGGGACACATGGCATTGAATTTTCATATTTTAGTTCACTACTAAATAATAATATACAAGACTCTCAATAGGACTTTGCTCAAGGCCAATATCTCCACAGTGAGTGCTCTACATGCATCCATCAACATTTGTTGGCTGTACCATTAGAGAGGCAACTTGATAAATATCAGCCCACAAGTGTAAATAACATGAGGATAGGGAACAATTTTAAAAGAGCTGATGACTCAAGGATGGTAAAAGAAATCACAGCCATTTTGGTCTAGGGAAATGAAAAATTAATAATCTATAGTTGGGGGACAGTTCTATACCTTTTGAAAAATACTTCATGTCCTCCATTCAATGTATGGAGGAAGCCAGCTTTGAAGCAAGTCATTGATGAGATTTCAATGATAGCTCGCACACGCAATCCCACAGATTTTGCTCATCTAAAATGGATTCCGGCTTTGCATGGAGAATCCATTTGGCTTGCACATCCATAGCTAGATTGCTGATTCTAGATCAGAACTTGCTCTGCCTAACTGAAAGGACTATCAGCTTGTTAAAGCAACGTGGAGAAAAAAGAGCAAAGTATAATCTTATTAGCTTCCAGCTTTAGGTGCAGAAGTTGCACAGCATGTGCACCCAAAACTGGATCTCTGTTAAAATTTACACCCAGTCTGTCCAGACAAGTTGACAAAACGATTAGATTATTCTGTAGTAATTGCTATAAAGAGATCTAATCACAATAAAAAATAACTACCATAAAAATAAAAGTGGTACAAGAAGTGAGGCTGGCTAGCCAAAAAATATATATAACTCAGATTTGAGAAATTATGCAAATTGAAGTAAGCTCATCCTTTTCATTTAAAAATATTTCAATGCTTTGTTGTATAGCAGCAATGAAAAGTATTATTTTATAAAGCTGTCAGGTTTTTGGTCATATTATTTGATATATAGATTATAATTTAATTGTTAAAAATGGTATATTTATTTCTTGTCCACTCCTAGGCAAAATGAAATCATTCATTTTGTAAAAATGGGGGAAGGATATCAGATAAACTAAATTATCATTTTAAGAGGTCATGGCAAGTAATGTTTGGGAACCTTCATATAATCTAGCTACTTTTTCTACAAATATGAAAAGTCATAAAATGCTAAAATTAGTACTGATTGATTATTAATTCCTTGCCTTAGCAACTGAACATATATAAATAACCACTATCTAATGAAATGACAAATTTAATGTTGGAGTCATTTTTCTGTCTCTCTCTATCCTTTTAGATATATTTCTAAATGGTATGTTGACATTATTGTCCAAAGCATATTCTTATTTTTTTCTAACTTATTTTAATTATGGGTTGACTTTATGTTAATGTCCTTTTTATGAATCTTAACATTTATACAAAAAAGGAAGATAGCACTGAAATACTACAACACAATTGTAGGCACCTGTGCTATGAAATAACAAAGATCACAGGAAAAAAATTCTACTTAATTGGTGTAAAGGTAAAGGTTCCTCTTGCACATATGTGCTAGCCGTTTCCAACTCTAGGAGGCGGAGCTCATCTCCGTTTCAAAGCCAAAGAGCCAGCGCTGTCCGAAGACGTCTCCGTGGTCATATGGCCAGCGTGACTAAACGCCAAAGGCGCATGGAACGCAGTTACCTTCCCACCAAAGGTGGTCCCTATTTTTTCTACTTGCATTTTTTACATGCTTTTGAACTGCTAGGTTGGCAGAAGCTGGGACAAGTAACGGGAGCTCACTCCATTACGCAGCACTAGGGATTCGAACCACTGAACTGCCGACCTTTCGATCGACAAGCTCAGCATCTTAGCCACTGAGCCACTGCATCCCTCTCCACTTAACTGGTTACATTTACTCAAATATCAAAAACAAAATTACTGCTGAACATTCAATTCATAAAACTTATGTGTATTTAAGTGTCTTGTTATTAGATTTATTCAGGATTTAAATACTATTTTATATATTTCCTAGACTAGCCATAAAATATGTCTATGGATAATCCCCCAAATTCATCAATACGTTGTCTGAACTTAGTGCAATGTCCTTTAGAAAGCATGAGCAAGTTTTTTTTAATTCAATAGAAGAAAACAAATAAAAGGTGCCATGATCATAATTTTTCATATGACTTAAGAGGTTCAATAAGCAATGTAAAACATGAACATCTAATTAGAAAAACTTTTAATTACTGATTGGAAAAAATTAGCTTAACAAACCAATGAGTTCTCTTGTTTTTGCTTCTATTTCTCCCAGAAGTGTTTCAGGGTTGGCACATATTTTTTCTTCTTCAGCACAATAACTTTCTAAAAATTTTCTATATTCTGGATCTGTGAAAGAAAAATATAGAAAGCAAAGTATTGCAAAAGAAGCTCATCTTAAATTACAATAAGCAAGTTTTACCACCAACAAAAAAGTGTACCATCTTCTATGCTTCCAGATTTTGCATCTTTCTTCTTTAGTTTCTTTTTAGAAATCTTTTGGAATGGTGCAAATTCAACAACAGCAGGATATTCCAAACCTTTAAAGAATCACAAAGGAACAGAATTATAAAGGACAATTAATTTTAAAACTGAAGTTCTTTTGAGAACAAATGTCAGAATCAAAATTATTTATCCTATTTTATCTGATTCAAGCTTATTACACATACCATCAAACCAGGAAAGGAAATCAGTACACAAGAGCAAACTTCTATGAATCCAACTGATCACATCAGGATCTCCTTCATATTGCTTCAGAGAAGTTTCCTTCAAGTTAAGCGTTACTCAAATGACATCAGGAAGGTCCTTTTTTTAAAGCAACCATATGGAAATACTGTAGTTTGTCATTACCCTTTTCTGAAGTGATTTTTCTATTGTTGAATTTAGATTAGACTTCTGGTAGTCCAGGTGGTCTCCTCTCAAAGTACAGTACAAAGCAATTGATGCCAATGAATATTTTTGTAGCAGTCCACCACAAAGGCACTAACTTTTATGTAAGATATATATATATTTTACATAAATATACACTTCACTTGAGCTCACTTTCAGTCATATAGCCAGAGCTTTAAGTGTTAGAAAAGAATGTAACAAAAAACCAAACACATTTAAATAGAACTTTGCTTTCAAGAATTCAATGGATGGTCATCAATGAGATCCATTGTGGATCCAGGTAGTCCTTGACTTATGACAAATCATTTAGTGACCGTTCAAAGTTACAACAGCACTGAAAAAAGTGACATGACCATTTTTCACACTTATGACCATTGCAGCATCCCCATCGTCATTCAGATTTACATTTGGATGTTTGACAATGGGTTCATATTTATGATGGTTGCAGTGTCTTAGGGTCAATGGGGAAGCCAGATTCACTTGACAACCGTGTTACTAATTTAACAACTGCACTTAACAAGTGTGGCAAGAAAAGTCGTAAAATGGGGCACAACTCACAACACATTTCTCACTTAGCAACATAAATTTGGGGGTCTGTTGTGTTCCATACATTTGTATTGGTCCTTTATGAGTAATTTATGAGTTACCTTTATTGTCAATGAAGACATAGCCATCAAAGCGATCTCTAAAAAGAAGGATGTCATCAGGATTTCTAAAATTAATATATGCTCTTGAGTAGAGGTGGGGATAAAGACTGCAACAAGAGTGAATTTCAGTTACTTGCATGTAAGTTCTAAAAGGAAAATTATACAAATATATGTCTCAAAGAAAGCAACCATTATATCTATATATTTAATGAAAAGACAGGCCATCAGAAATGCTATGCGTTATAAATTCTTAATAATCATTAACCTCTATGCAAATGTGATATTATTCAACCAACCTAGTTTTCATAGACTTCACCTTCAAGGTTTGAAAGCCACTATAACTTCATTCCTACTTTGGCTGCAAGTAAATTGAGCAAAAAAGGCCTGGGAAACAATGGAGGCAAGTTAGATCAAGTTAGGCCTTCCATTCAAAGAGAAGATTCTGAGCAATAGATCAAGTGATGAAAATTAAAACTTCTTTTTGATACTGATTCCCAATGAACTCGTTTCCTAGTTACATTTTATACTACAGTGTGATTAAATTAATAGATTGCAACTACTTGAGTTTGTACAACATATTAAATAATAAATTATGCTCTAAAGCCACAATACTGTATGCCAAAATAATGAAATCGTACTACTGCGGTATATGACCCTAGTCTATGAACACAGGTATATGATAGTGATAATGTTATACAATGCTATAATAAACAAGCAACTTAAGATTTTGTATTTGAATAGGAAAAACAAATCTGTGTTTTTTCCTCTTTTCCCTTTCCTTTTGGTGCCTTTCACAATCTTGCACACTTATGATAATATAGGAAAAAATTATATATTGGCAAAATTCAATCTATTTTGTACTAATAATCATGGTCCTCATGTTGACAGAATCAAACGACCAGAATGCTGTAAGCAGAGTAGTTGTGCTATTTGATATTACAAAGTTTTCTCTAAACCATGAACATTTCAATTACTTTTTGAGAAACACAACATCATATCACAGAACAATGATCCATTAACAATCCAGATTTTAAAAATTTACATTCCAGTCTCTGAAATGGCCATAACAGCCTGATATCTCATTAGAGAAGACAGTAGTAATATATGATGTGATTTACTTTTATTTAGTTGCAACTCTTCACATAAGAAGATATATGTGAGAACTAGTTTGAGCTGGTGGCTAAAGAAACAGTATAGAAATTAAGGGTTCTAGTGCCACCTTAGCCATGAAAGCCAGCTAGATGACCTTGGGCTAGTCACTCTCTCTCAGCCCAACTCACTTGACAGGACTGTTGTTGTGGGGAAAATAAGTGTAAGAAGATGTGTAGGATATGTTTGCCACCTTGAGCTATTTGCAAAAAATAACTCAGTTATTTTTTTAATAACTCAATAAAGGTGAAATAATGAATGGATGGATGAATCTCTCAGAAGATCCACTCAATCTGGCTAGAATGGTCAAATGTTGTCCATTCTTAAACTATTTTCAGTTAGAAAAAATAAATTTTAATGTCTCAAATATGCACGAGAGAATACTCCTAACACATCCAAACCCTACATGATTCCTGCTCCCTGCTGTGAATCTCCCACAAATCAATTTCATTGATTTGAGTTCTAGTGCCATGATAATTACAGCAGCACAATCTGTACAGAATGAATAGCATTAAATATGCCATTAATGAACAGTAGAGTACTGTTATACATCCTTTGTATTAGAAACATTTTAACTAAAATGCATCCTAAGTTAATAGAAACAGACAAACATGAAATAAACAATTGTCTTGGTTTATACAAATGCTTCACCTGGGATCAGAGGAACAAAATTCAAAATAATCATGAGCTGGAAGTGGATGGAGTTGTTCTTCTAGCTGCTCCTTAGTAAAGTTAGGAGGAAGCCGGCGAATAACTACCTGCAAAACAAACAGGTAAAACCGGGCATACAACACTTTTTCTCATGTCAGTGCCTGCAATACACTCAAAACAAGCTTACTGTTGCTGATCTGCATTTTTTAAAAAAAAATACACCTCCCATTAGAAATATTATTATTTTAAATAATATTCCTGAGAAGCACAATGCTGTCCACATGCCATTCAGCTATAACTTTGGGCCCTTGGCTTATCTCTCAGCCTCCCTCATTCCTGACAGTTCTGTCTTGAAGTGGGTGGTGCTGCATTAATCCCACTTGGATGGCCACCTGTTTTCCCATCTTAGAGTTCTGAGGGTACATGATGTAAAGAACAAGGATGATCATCATGATGAGATGGCTGCACTGATTGCTTCTGTCCTCATGAGGATTTGAAAGAAGGGTTCTATTTGCTCCAGGCGGACAAAGCAGGGAGCCCCGTGAGGGGTCCTTGGTGCTCTCTGAGCTTGCTTGTTTTCTTGCAGATGTTTCATTACCCAAACTAGGTAACACTATCAGTGCTAAATGTCTACGGAGATTCTCAGTCATCCAGGGCAGGGTTGTCCCAAAGGTGCTTTTTTTCAAGAGGCAACTGGACTTTCTGGTTTTTCTTTGAAGACGTTTCACTTCTCACCCAAGGAGCTTCTTCAGCTCTCCAAACTCTCCAGCTCATCCAAGAGCTGAAGAAGCTTCTTGGATGAGAAGCGAAACGTCTTGAAAGAAAAACCAGAAAGTCCAGTTGCCTCTTGAAAAAAAGCACCTTTGAGACTATCAGTGCTAGTACTGATGATGTCACCTAGTTTAGGTTTAGGTTTATTTGGATTTATATACTGCCCTTCTCCAGAAGGACTCAGGGCGGTGAACAGCCAAAGATAGAACACATACAATATAAAATTTTAAAACAATTTAAAACATATTAAACAAATTTGGCCCATACTAATTAAAACACCTTTTTTAAAAGCAAATTAAAATTAAGCAATTTAAAAAAGTTAGGCCAGCCCAGCTTGTTGGAATAAAAAAGTCTTGAGGGCACGGTGGAAAGTGCGTAAATCCGGGATCCTCCGTATCTCTGGGGGGAGCTCGTTCCAAAGGGCAAGTCCCCCCACAGAGAAGGCTCTCACCCTGGCGGCCGCCAGTCGACACTGTTTGACCGACGGCACCCTGAGGAGCCCCTCTCTGTGGGAACGTACTGGCCGGTGAGAGGCTACCGGTGGCAGAAGGCGGTCTCGTAGGTACCCAGGTCCTAAGCCATGGAGCCCTCTAAAGGTGGTAACCAATACCTTGAAGCGCACCCGGAAGACCACCGGGAGCCAGTGCAGCTCGCGCAGGAGAGGTGTTACATGGGAGCGCCATGTCGCTCCCATAGCCACCCGTGCGGCCACATTCTGGACCAGTTGGAGCCTATGGGTGCTCCTCAAGGGGAACCCCATGTAGAGAGCATTACAGTAGTCCAGGCAGGAAGTGCATGAGTGACCATAGTTTGGAGTGAAACCTCTGCAAGAAAGCAAGAAAGCTCAGAGAGCACCAAGGACCCCTCATGTCAACCCTGAGTGACAAATCTTCTCCTTTACAAAGCGGACCGTGTTTCCTGGGCAGGACGGGGCTGGACCCAAGCTACAGAACCCGGAGCCCAGCAGCCCTTTCAACATCGCTACGCCCCCTCCGTGTGTCCCGGGCCGCGGTCTCGTGCGCCCCCACCCGCGCTTTGTCCCTCGCGAAGGCCCCTTAGCGCTTCAGGTGCGGTAGCTCCTCCCACTCCCCCCCCCCACCTCCGCCGCCGCTCCTTCCTCGAGCTCGCTGTCCTTGGTGCTGGAGGGAGCCCCTCCCTTTGCCCGCCGGCCTCTTACTTTGCTCAGCGCCGCTCTTTTCTCTTCCCGTTGCTGCTTGCCCGGCGGCAGGTTGGAAGGCGGGGGCGGCGGCGGGGGGCGGAGGCCCCGGAGAGGAGGACGGCGTCTCTGACACGCGACGTGGGGATTCTCGCTGAAGCGGAGCCTCCATGACTCCGGCTCTATTGGCCGAGCCTTTGCGATCGTTCGCTACTCCGCCGCTTTAAAGCTTCAGCCCGGTTTCCTTTCGCTCCTCTTTCAACCGCCAACCTTTGCTGGGAAACATCGCGAGAGCAGCCCCGGTGCCCAAAGAGGGTCTCGCGAGAGCTAGGGGATCGGGCAAGGGGTTGGGGTTGCTAAGGGATGTCCCGCAGCGCCCAGGCTCTCAAGTCCGATAAGAGGCGTCTCGGGCGTGCTGGGCCGGTCGTCTTTCATGGCTGCGAAATTGGTCCAATTTCTTCTAAGCGCCCGATAACCCATCAGGTTCATAAGGTATGGCACGATCAAGATTTCTAGGTACAGCCTCTTCTCAGTTTGTACCCCGGATTAGAAAAAAACTTGAGCCGATGGTGGTTTTTGGTTTTCTTTCACACCCATTTTCAGGATGCATGCACGTTTGATGAGCTTAGGAAACACAAAATAATGTACTGCAAGCCCACCTGTTCCATCCCATTTTTTTCTTGCAACAGCCTATCTACAGATCTTGCTTCCCCCCCCCCCTTTTTTTTTTTAAATGAAGCATGGAAAACCGTTAAACAGTAGGCTACCCTCTTTGAATATGGCTTTAGGACTATAGTTGAAATTAAATTTCAGAACTATAATGAAGCCTTGGTGGTGCAGCGGACTAAGTGCTGTTATGTAGCACTTAGCTGCCAGCTGCCTGCAATTAGTGCGAGTTCAAATCTCACCAGGCTCAAGGTTGACTCAGCCTTCCATCCTGCCAAGGTAGGTAAAATGAGGACCCGGATTGTGGGGGCAATAAGCTGACTTTGTAGAAACACTGCTTCTGGGGGGCCAAAAATCCTAATAAGCAGGAATATACAAAAGAATGAAGGCTATTGCTATAAGTGCATTGTAAGCCCCCCTGAGTCTTCGGAGGAGGGCGGCATATAAATTGAACTAATAAATAAATAAATGCAATTTTTGTGTTGCCACAACTCAAAAAGCATTTGGATCTGGCTTAATAGTATTTATATTACAGCTTTCAATGGAACCTTTACTTTTATGTGAACTGGTCCCGAAACAACAGAATGCTTCAATATGCACTGCCACCCATAACTTCTCAGTCATTAGGGGATTCATATTTGAAAGTCTTGCTAGGAACCTTACTGTGTTAACTGCAGGGGTAACCAAGAACACCCCTTCCTCTTCTATCCCTTCTCTGAAATTTTTAACCACCTGTGTTTGGCTTCTGAGTTTTTCTATGGTTCCACCAAACTGTTTTGTCCCTTTACTGATAACTCAGTACGTACAACCCTACTCCATCTTTGAACTTTAGTAATTGCTTAGATTGTTGCAAAAATACATGAATGATGTAGTCACTAATCTCTCCAGGGTACGGGAGATAATCAAGAAACCATAAAGTTGAAGAAAGTGACAAATATTAGACAGACAACACATTTACTATCACAGTAAAAACGATTTGCCTACAATTCAGTGAAAAAAATGAATTCAGTTGATAATTTTTTTAACAATTATCAAAGAGATCAAATGAAAAATTTAATTCTGAATTAAAGAATAAAATATAATATCAAAACTGTACTTTTTTTCAGGACATTCTGACACATAATTAAGATGGAAAAAGGCAAAGCAGCAATTTATCAGTTCATGGGTACAGAAATATATATATTGTAATCCAATTTGATTTTTTGCTTGTACATTCACTGTCTAAATAGCAGTCCCACGATGCAGTGAAAGTTAAAAATACATTATTTTGAATAAAATTGCTATAAACAAAACACACCATCTTGGACAGTTCTCTGATGGCCACATGGTATATATAGTTATATAAAACAACAAATTCAGAAAGGGATGAATGACAAATTACTTAATGATTCTGCACAATGATAAATCTGCACCAATATTTTAAGGTCATGTACTATGGTCTGACATGGATGTTTCTAACATCATGTCACTTTCATTCATTTCAATTTCAAAAGTTTCATCTAATGAAGGAGGGTCTTCTGTGGTTTTTCGTTGATGAGGTGTTTCCAATGCCATATTGCTTTCTTCTGTAGTTTGCCTTTCTATATCAAATTCCAATGCACCCCATGCAGGGGAGATGATGTTCTTCAATGTCTTCATAGTATGCACATCAAAATCATAGCATCTGAGTTTATCCTTAATTGCAGTCCCTAAAAGAAATTGCTTAGGTTAATTTTTCATATAATTAAAACCTGTTTGACATGTCTTTCACTGTCCGATTATTCTTTTTTGTTCCATGTTGTGGGGCTTGAGGAGACTGTTCTGTGTGTTCTTAACTATCTGATAAACTAATCTACTGATAAATGTATTGGTAGTAAAGGAATCTTATTTCAACTTGGTTCATATTAAAATATGTTTTTGCAAGTATAATGTTCGTTAAAACTTTAAACAAGAAGGTAAAAGATAACACTAACAGATAGCAAGATAGGAAAAATAAAAGAGAAAGCAAGAAGAAAGCAAAAAGTGCAAAAAAAGGAGAAAAGTTAAAGAAAAATAGAAAAGAAAAAAGTATTAAGAAGTGGCTTATGATATTCTTCACAGCAATTATAAATATAATATATATTAAAATATATTTTCTCTTCCTATGATGATGATGATGATGCCACCTGGTCAACCATTCATTATGCCAAATAACTACATGTCATAAATGTTTGTTTGAGGCAACCACCACAGCCAGTCTGGGAAGATATGAAAAAATATGAGGAACAGTACTCAAATAACAACTTACCAATGTAGGCTTCGGAATCTCCAATATACATTTCTATGCAATGTCCAAGCATAGTAACTGAAAATGTATCATCCCTCCTAAGACCAAGGGCCTGTTTTAAAAGAACAAACAAACAAATAAACCCAACTTTTTAACTATCTTTAACAGATTAAAATTCTATAAATGTATGCCTTTTGTAGTCAAAATAGCATCAGTAACATACAAGGGAGAGGTATCGGCATGTTAGGAAGAATTATTCACATGATTTGCCACAGACCAGGGTCATTTAGAAATATCCTAGTGATAATTCATTTCTCCCACCAAACAACTTAAGTGAATTAAGCAGCATGTTGAATACAAATTAAATGTTAATATAATGTTGATGGGAAGGAAAACATGTAAGAGAGTGGTGACAAATCCTGAACATTTTGATATCCTATGCTTTGAAGTTGTGGTTCTTTACTGCACATTTTTGCTTGAACAAATAAATGTATACTAAATAAAATATACACATACTGTATGAAAATAATCAATTGCACTTTCAAAGTTTCCCATCAGACTATGTATGTATCCAATTGCAGAATACGTGGAAGCATTTTGAGGGATCAAGACCAGAGCTTGACGATGGTATTCAAGAGCTTCTTCATATTTCCTTTTAAAATAAAGATAAATAATGCATTTGACAAATTACTACAATACATAATTAGCAAGATTCTGTAGTATTTCCATTATATATATATATTCTCTGGGAACCAGAGAAAACTGGACCGTTAACATGCATTCAGGCTGCAGCTAGTATAATGAAGCATGACCCACAGCTTCTAAACTGATAATAAAGGCCCGAAGATTACAAGGTAGAGACCTTGTCGAAACGTTGCCTAACCTTTAAAGTGTTGGTTAGGATTTCAGCCAGAGTTTTTGAAAGACCTTACAAAAGGTTTTTGTTTGGGAATTTAGAGGATTCTGAGCTAGGATTTTAGCCAGGATTTTAAACATTTTAACTAACAAACTTATAATGACGCGGGAAATACACATACACACACACGTTTCCCCAAAAATAAGACTCTCTCTTATATTTTTTGAACCCCAAAATAAGTACTTGACCTTATTGTCGGGGAGGTCTTATTATTTTTCCCTAACGCTAACCAGAGAAAATGGCGGGGACCGGCTGTGCATGCATTTAAATATTTTAAGGGAGGGCTTATTTTCAGGGAGAGGGCTTATTTTAGCACATGTGCTCAAAACAGGGAAACGGTATATATACATATTCTGCATTCCTCCAGGAACTCAAGGCAGAATACACAGCATTCCATCTTCTACATTTTTTCCGCCCTCAGTAAAAAGCTGGGCTGTATGGGATGTGAGTTTTTATGGGTAAGGGATACAGAAATATTATTTCTCTTGATAGTGAGATAGATAGCATATAAATTTGAAAGATAGTGGATATGCAATCATAACTCTGCACACCCTCTTATAGGTAGGGATGTCGCTATATTCAGAATGAACCAATCACATTCAAACTGATGTTAAATAGTAGTTAGTAGATTCTTGTGAAAAATTAAAGTGATTCTGATCAGGCCCATAAAAAGTTCAGCTGTTCTAGTAGGATTTTTCTGACATTTACTCAGTTGCGTCTCAGAGGTAAAGACGTGGTCTCTAAAGAACTTAGAAAGCATCAAAGGGATCTCATTGTTGGAAGGTATCAGCCAGGGGGAAGAGTACAAAACAATTTCCAAGGCATTGGATAAACTATGAAACACAGTGAAGACAGTCATCAAGCAGATAAAATATGGCACAACAGGGACATTATCAAGTACTGAAGGTCCATCCAAAATTGATGAGAACACAAGACGAAAACTGGTCCAAGAAGTTGCCAGAGGCCTACAGCAACATTATAAAGAAGCTGTAGGAATTTCTGGCAAATACTGGTTGTGTACTACATGTGACAACCATCATGTCTGGACTGTCCAGTAGGGAGGCAAGAAAACCTTTTCCTTTGTGAATGCTTTGTGAAGCATCATAGTGGCAACATTGTATTTTGGGGCTGCTTTTCTTCAGCTGGAACTGGAGCTTTAATCAAGGTGGAGGGAATTATAAATAATTCCAAATATCAGTCAATTTTGGAACAAACCTTCAGATCTCTGCTAGAATGCTGGAGATGAAGAGGAATTTCACCTTTCAACATGACATTGGCCCAAAACATACCTCCAAATCAACAAAAAAAATTGGCTCTACCAGAAGATCAAAATTTTGGAATGGCCTAGACAGAGCCCAGACCTGAATCCAATTGAAAATCTGTGGGGTTACCTAAAAAGGGCTGCACACAGGAGATGCCCTTGCAATCAGACAGATTTGGGGCTCTTTTGTAAGAAAGTGTGGGCAAAGATTCCCAAGACAAGATGTGCCATGCTGATAGGCTCCTATCCCAAAAGATTGAATGCTGTCATAAAATCAAAATGTACTTCAACAAAGTATTAGTTTAAGGGTGGGCACACTTATGCAACCATGTTATTGTTATTCCCTC